TTTGTAGTATTTTCTAAAACGCACTGTTAAGACAGCAGGTAAAAGTTGGTCTGTGTTCAGTCGGAGCTGCCTGCGACGCGCTGATGAGATCCAAAAAGATCGAAATCACGATTCGCGTCTGGCAGTTTCGACAGAATACAGACCACTTCGAATTATTTTAATCGATTAAGCTAACGTGCCTATCACGCCGGGATTCGTTTTCAGCAAGTAGATATCCACACAAGTGGACCTTGTTAAAAAATACGTAATCCTAAAATGTAGCATCGTCTCTTGTCATCATATGGGCTAAGTGCGACCTTTCTTTGTTGTACTGTATAGACGTTATGTCTATTAGAAATAATTACATTTTGATTGGCCTCTATGATTTGATTATGGAATAAACATTTAAAGTAATCATCAAAAGTGATCAGGGTTATTATCTAATCCATCTACGTATTTTCTTGGTAAGGTATCATATTGATCTAAATATTTTGTGTGTGATTTTTCAGTAATTTTTGATAAATCTCTTAAATCTTCTTGTTGTCGACGTTCATCATCATTTATTTCTTCTTCAATCTCTTTCACTATAGATTTTTTATATGATGCTGATGGAATTTATGAGGCTTGTTGTTTAATCTTACTTAAACGTTTATGTATCGGTGTAGAATTATACCATGATTTTGATGATACTGAAGATGGGTCATTAAAAAGTTTTGAAATATCTTCCCCCTTTATCTCAGTGTAATTATCATTGTAGTCAGTGGTACTTTCATCTATAATCTTAAGCTCATTGTCATCACTATCTTTTAGTTTGGTTTCAATACTTTTTAAATGTTTCGTGATTGGTACAAAGTCATCTTCAGGCATAAGTTGTCCCTCTCTTAATAAATTTAGTTTATTTTTTACAATATTACGTTTTGCGATAAGCTTACGCTTAATCTCCTTTTCCATGATCCAGGTGATCTATTCATATGAAGTGAATTTATAATTCTACGTATGTTTACTAATGTTTTCTCTTTAAATACATATAGTTTAATAAGCAGTTGAATAACGGCTCTGTAACAGCATTC